AATAACAAGAATAGTAATTATAATAATGATAATAATAATGATAATAATAATAACAGTGGGACGATAGAGTAACAATATGATAATGTGAGTATATGATAGCATGATGAAAACGTAATGATAGCGTAACGATACAAAAACGTGCTGATAACATGACGGTCGAGTGACAATACGATAACATGATGATAGAATAACGATACAACAATGTGATGATAGCATGACAATAACATGGTGATAGCATAACGATACGATAACATGATGATAACATGATGATAGCATAACGATACGATAACATGATGATAGACTGACGATAGCATAACGATACCATAACATGACAATAACATGATGATAGCATAATGATACAATAACATGACAATAACATGATGATAGCATAACGATACGATATCATGACAATAACATGATGATAGCATAACGATACGATATCATGATGATAGACTGATGATAGCATAACGATACGATAACATGATGATAACATGACGATAGCATAACGATACCATAACATGACAATAACATGACGATAGCATAACGATACCATAACATGACGATAGCATGATGACAGCTTAACGATATGATAACATGATGATAACAAGATGATATCATAACGATCCGATAACATGATGATAACATGACAATAGCGTGACGATAGCATGACATAACAAAACGATATGACAGCATAACGATACGATGACATGACGATAGCATGATGATAGCTTAACGATACAATAACATGATGATAACATGACGATAGCTTAACGATACAATAACATGACGATAGTATGACGATACGATAGCGTGCCGATGGCGTGCCCCAGTTACCATGAAGGGAGCACACGTCCAGCAAAAGGTGGAGAAAGCGTTGAGGTAGGCCGTCTTCTTCAGGATGTCCAGCTCCTTCCTACGGATGTCCTCCACTTTGTCCTGAAACGACGACTCCCACGCATACAGCTTGAGGACCTGGGCCAGGACATACGAGGGAGATGAGTTGGTGGGTGGTGGGGGGTTGGTG